CAGTGGGGTCTCGGCCGCTCCTCGTCACCCCCTACACCCAGACAGCCCTCTGGGCACGTGTGTATGCAGCCCAGACCGCGACAGGGCAGGAATGGCCTGCGGGTCTCCTCACATAGGGGTCCACGTTTATGTATTCTAAACCCGCAGCCCTGCAGCTGCTCCACCTACGTGTGTTGGGCGAGCCACGCTGGCCTGTTGATCGCCTGGGCCAGGAAATCCTCCCGCTGGTGAGCCAGCAGCCCAACCCAAACAGTTCTCAATCATTGAGCTCCCAAGAGGAGTGTTCACACTGGAACATTTGGTAGGAGTTTAAGTCAATCTCTAGTAAACCCAAGCTTTGAAAGACTGTTCATCCCCAGGGCTTCCTTTCCAGTAGTCACGTTAACACAAACTTTATGTACACTGGTCCAGTTTGTCCCTGTGGGGACGGAGAATGGAAAGAGCAAACTGTGGCTCTAATAAGAAAAACAATGAGATCATCACCCTAAAACACTATAACACCCTCCTCACTGGTGGCTTTCTAGGAGCCCACTTCACCACCTTCCCTAACTATGAACGCAGATGTTTGCTGTTGAGGAGGGCTGCCCAATGGGCGCTCAGAACAGGAAGCCGCAGAAGTTTGGAGAAGTTGGAGAGCGGCAGCGCACAGATGCGCAGTGGCCGAGTTTTCGAAGGCACGCGCGGCAGCGGCTACCGTACACTCCTAGGTTCCCAGCTGGGGGCAGTAACCCAAGTTCAGACTCCTTGGATTAAGGCGTCTTCCTTGAAAGGCTGCTGCACTCGAGCCACAGCCCAACTTCAGCGGAGGGCAAGGCAGTCACCCCGAGCTTTCGGCGCGAGGCGGGACAGCAGCTGTGCTGAACAAATCTGTATCCACTTTGTTCAAGTAAATCTCACCTGCTGAGGCGGGCGCCCCGGGCCCTCTCTCCTTCTCCACATTTTCTTCTCCCTATCCAGTTTCATGTGTTTTTTTTATTTTGAAACGTAGTCTAGATTCTTCCCTAGTCAGCGCTTTCCCTAATTCTCATCCAACGCCCCCAGAATGGAACAGGGATGACTTGCGTTTGCACCAAATTGAGCAGATAGGACTCCAGGACTTCGGGGAGGTGGTGCCTCTCTTCTCCACACAAAAGTCCACCAGCTTCTCAGCGATCCTTGGAAAGACTGCGTGCTCGTGTAGCAGGGACCAGTCAGCACCTTCACGAAGTCAGAATCCCTGAATTTGTAGAACAAGGGAATTATTCCAGAGACTCTTACCTTAGAAGCTGGGCGGGGCG